GCAAAAATTGTTTGCCAAACTCAAACGATTACACGGAAAACCTAAAATTCCATTTAAGAAACAGACTCCTGTCAATAAAAACAAAAGTTTGATTGACAATCCTAATATTGAATCTATTAGTAAAATTACAGCAAAAGACAAGTCGAAGCGTTCGCTAGCAAATCTACTCGGTCTAATGCAGCTCCAGTAACTGAGGAAGACTCTGAACTGTTTGTAAAAGAAATAAAAAATATTGATCAATCACGTTCATCTTATTGGAGGGATCCATACGAAATACTCGCGGAACAGTTTTCGACACACATTGACGAATCATCTACGAAAAGAAAAATCGAACATGACGATGAGACATATGTAGTTGAACGTCAAAAAAGTATGAAATAACATTTTTTTAATCATCGGATATATTTGTTATTTTTACAATAATAGTCATACTTAATTTGTTGATTTTTCTCTAATATTTTACCAGGTTATGAAAATATGGATAAACATCCATCTACTTCAGATAAGTCGTCAGAACTATATAATAGTTCACATTCATTAAAGAGGGCAAACACTTTTGACGGATATGAACCATCAAAGAAGTGTAGATACTCTAGCTGTGTAGAGTTTCATTCTAGTAAATATGGGCCACAAAATAGAGTGGTGTTGAAGATAAGGGCCACGTCTTCAACATCTGATTCAAATGACGAATCAAAAATTACCAATGATTCAGAAACTGACTATAATGGCAACGGTACAAAATTAATTTATACACTTTAATGAAAAAATTTATAATAATAATATTTTACTTCTTAAAATTCAACAGGACATCCCTCTAACAGAGCACGGCCTACAAACGCTCTGGACACATGTAAATCGTCAAAAAAACTTGAATATTCAAGTAGTGTAGAGATTTACGTGGCGCAATCAGATGAATTAAAAGACAAAATAATATTAAAGATTTCAAAAATAAACTATTCGGATGATGATGATTCTTCTTCTAGCTCTGATTTTAGTTCTCATTCCGATTCTGATGATTCAGAACATGAATAAAATTTTAATAGTTCTATATTATTTTATAACCCATCAAACAGTATCCAAGGACATTTTTAATTGAGTTACCCTTTTACCTCCCTTATTTCATGTAATTAAATTGATTAAACTTTTAAAACGTTCCTTTCATCATCCCTATTAAAATTATTAAATTAACCTTATTTTATATTTTGTATATATAAAAAGAAAAAAAAATTAACTCTACACATTTATTATTTACAACCTAATTAATTTCATTGTTATAAATTTTGATTTTTATTTCATTTAAAATTANTATTTACAACCTAATTAATTTCATTGTTATAAATTTTGATTTTTATTTCATTGAAAATTGTTTATTACTATATTTGTTTTTAATAAATTGATATGTTTATGAGAAATGTTTGTGTTTTAAAAACTGGTATGACTAGAAATATAAAGAAGTATTATTTTAGTCTATTTTTCAAATGTCAAATCGATTTATAGAATTAATTTTACAAAGTAGGTTAGTTTTAACTTAAAAGAACATGTTTTGATATTGTACTCATTATGAGATGTGCGATCGAGAATTGATACTCGTCTGTCGAAATATTGGCTATTGGTCACGGTGTCTAAGGTAAGATACAGTTTGCATTGGCGATCTCGAGCAGGCTACTAAAATATACCCCCCCTCAAAAAAAAAAAAAAGAGTATTATATGTTCTTTTAAATAGGATTATTGCAATTATAAAGCAACTCATATTTATTGGATTTCGTACATGATTATAAAAAATACAAAAGTATTTTTTTTCATTATTAAATCAATTACTGTTGATTAATATTTTTTTTTGTGACTTATTACCCTTCTTTATATTACCGTCTCAATTGTTCTGTCATAATAAATTGATCTTAGAAAATACACACTTTATAACTAAAAAGTCAAAACTATTATAGTTATGAAACGTAAGTTACCAAATAATTGTCTAAATCGTTTAATAGTATCACTAGAACTTTAAATTAAATTGTGCGTCATTAAATTTTTATGAAGACTCATTTTTTGTTTTAATGTTATACAACATACTAGTTATCAATAATTGTTTATTAGATACGCCTATAAAAACGTAGAATATTTTTTTAATAGATCTCAAGTATCGGTGTTTAGGTTTGTGTGCACAAACATATAGTGTCTTCTATCAAAAACGGCGTTTAGACGAACAAGGCAATTCCATTAAACGCCTTGTTGTGTGTGAAACCTGGCGCGCTTCTACAAGTTTAATTAAAACATGATATAGATCAAATTTTATCTACAATATCGTGAATTCAAGTATCAATATCAAAACAAATTATGTGCTGCCATCTACAAGATTGTTTTTTGTAAGGGCTGAACCATATTAGTTTTGAAATATATTATTCTAAAACGTTTTGTCACACAAAACGGAAAATAATTTTTTGTGTGTTAAGCTGTTTTGGCTCTATGAGCCTCGGATAAAACATTAGGTTTATTTGAATTTCTTGAAAAATTACCCTAGAATAATCGTCTAAATTAAATCTATGTAGATATTTTGAAAACCTTCTTAAATCATCATAATAATAACATAATCAAATTACTAAATTAGAATACATATTAGTAAAATAGTATATAGAGAGAGATTATACAAATAATAATTTATTTTTCCGCTATCATACTTTAGTAGTTTTGTGACAAACCCAACAAATTTTAACACAAACACCAAAGAGATTATAATAATAAAACGTGTTGAATTTAGTTTTAAAAATATGAATTTCAAAAATTAATTTAGAAATCTTAAAATTTGTTAGTTAACCCTTTATATTTAAGAATGAAATAAATTCAGTCAAATCATTTTTACTAGTCACGAATTCATCCAAAGGTATGCTTTTTAAAATTATTAATTTATATTTTATATTTTGAAAGAAAATTTTTATCACATATTTACTTATTCATGTGATTAAAAATGCCGCATGATAACAATCAATATTTTTTTATTTGCCATTTAAAATTTTAAAAGTTGATAAATTCTTGTCAAAGAACCTGTTTTTGATTTTTTTTTAATTTACATTTATAGTTGGGTGATCAATTTTTTATTCAATTGATGTAGTTATCAAAGACGTGATATGCAATATGAATGGTCATGTGTTAGAATTAACTAATGCAAATAGTTATGAAGAATTAAGCTTTGATAATAAAGAACACATGTCTCTAATAAATACAATATATCAGGATAAAGTCATGGTAAGTTTTATTACATTAATTTCAGTTTAAAAACTATAATATTTTAATATAAATTTTAATTTCTACAAAAAAAATTTGTAATCTTTTCAATGTTTGAAAATGTACCATGAAATAAAATGCTTATTTTTGTAAATTGTGACTTACAAAATGTTGATAAATGAAATATATATATTTTTTTTTACTTAAAACTTATAGATAAAAGAAAGTATGACTTATTCATCTGAGTCTATTCAATTTGATAGTGAAACAGAAGAAACATATGATGAATGTTATTCTTGTTTTATGTGTAATGTCTCTTATAATACCCAATTTGATTTAGAAGAGCATTTGAGAACTCATAATGATGATGAAACATTTCATCATAGTAATATTGATAGTACTAGTGAACCTTTACCTAGTGAATTCATACGGCCTTCAAAGTATTTTAGATGTTATGAATGTTTAAAAGTGTGTAAAAGTCAATTATCTTATAATGAACATATGCTAACACACACTGGAGAAAAGCCTCATCATTGTCGAGTTTGTGATCGTAAATTTCGACATATAGCTAACTTCAGGACTCATTTAAAAAGTCATACTAATATAAAAACATTAGTCTGTTCTCTTTGTTGTAAAACCATTGTAGGAGAAAAAAATTACTACATTCATTATATGGATGTGCATAATAAAATGTCTGTTCGACAATCTCGTCTATATCACACTAGCTCATCAGATAGTGATGAAGATTTTAACCCCAAAATATCATATTACAAAAAAAAAAAAATTAATATGCGAAATGGAAAATGTAGAAAATACAATGAACCTTTTGGCCCACTATTTGCTAAAAAAGCTTGGGAAAAAAAACAATTTGAAAACTACATTTGGGATGTAAGTATAAATGTACTAAGCAATTTTCTTAATATTAACTTGTTCAATTTTGTATTCTAATATATTTCAGATTGATGAAGAAAAATGTGAAAGAGATGCTGTGCATGAAGCTATTGAATGTTCTAGATTAGATATTCAAAATATGCTTAAAAATAAAAAACAACAATTAAATGATTACAATACTGAAGAATATCAAAAACTACTAGACATTTTGGTTGAAGAGAAAAATTCAACTGGCAAAATTAATGAAGCTAAACTAATTGGTCCTTTTTTTTGGAAAAGTGCTTTATGTAAAGCTGGTCTTATAGAAGAATACTTATCTCCAGTTCAATTTCAAAGTCAATTAAGAGTAACTGAGTGTATTTCTTGTAGAAAATGTTTTGCTAGGTAATTTTTTATTTAAGTCAATTTTTTAAGTATATAATTCTTTCTAAGTTTAAGTTATGTTTGAATGCATTAGGATTAAATCTTATCAATACTATATGGGTTCATATTTAGGCATTTAATACCATGGGTATAATTAAAAAACTTCATTCTTAACTCAATTTTATAATTTAACCACATAAATAGTTTTATTATTATCACTAATATATTATTTGACACTTTTGTCATTTTATCGCATATATAATATAAAATTTTGTTAAGCATTATTATAATATATTACTTCTGTTTATAAAAGTACATCAATAAATCATTGAAATAAAAAATAATTTATAATTAAATGTAAAATTTTACAAAAAATATATACACAAATATAAGTCAATCATATAATAATATATATTAATCTTTATTACTTATTTATTCTTATATACTGCTTAATTGTTTAAGGTTACCCCAAAATAATAAGGATAACATAATTCCATCCACCCCTCCATGTTCAAGCTGCTTTATGATGAAAAATGAAACTACATTAAATAAGCACAAATCTGAACAACATACTGAAAACCCTCCTTATATTTGTAAAGAGTGTTTATCTCAATCATATTCTTGGTATGAATATGTCCAACATATGAAAATGCATTTAAGATATGCAGCAAGATGCAGTGAATGTATTTACATGATGATGAATAAACCTGAACAAGTAATTTTTCTATGTCATGAATGTGATATGTCTTTTGATTCTGACGAACAGCTAAAAATTCATTTAAAAACACATTTAGAAAATGGACAAAATAATAGTTGTAGTAATAAATCGTAGTATTAGTTGAGTTTTAATTTATAGAAATTATTTAGTAAACATTCTTATTACTTAAAAAATATTCCAAACCATTTTTATTTAGATAGTACAATTTTTTAATTATTCTTTCTACCATGATTAAGTTATATTTTAAGTTTATAATCTGCAATATACTTTTGTTTCCAAAAATTAATTATTTTATACTTTTCAGCATTTATTATATTACATGTTTCGTTGTCCTAATGTTAGTATTATATAATCCAACATTATATATGATTATAACATAATAATTTATGTATTTTTAAATACTACTTAAATATTGTGCTTTAAAACTGTCATAAAAACATTTACAATAAAATTAACTATCAATAATAAAAATAGGTTTAGTTAGTTGTGTATTGAACTTAGAATATAATTACTGTACTTGTATTAATAAAACTGCTAAATAAAAAACAATTTATCAATTATAGGGATATGAGTGATAATTTCTAAGTAATTTAGAATCTTTGATTCCAAAAATTAACTCAGAATTTCCCAATCAGCTCTTGTTTTTTAAAAAAATGTTAATTTTTTATTTTAGAGTTTGAAAACTTTTAACGTTATTTAGCTATTGTAACAACCATCTAAGAATAGTATGTCATATGAAAGCTACAAGCATGGAGAATATAATACAATATTAATTTGATAACATTTTACATCAACTTAAATATAAAAATAACTATTAATTTATGTCCAAAATTCTTTAAAGTCTAAAACACTTCTGAAATTAAGTTTTATAATTTATATTATATAATACTAACTTTTTTATTTCAAAATAGATTATTTTATTAATTTGTGATACATAAACTTCCAATCCTAATGTATGTGAAATTTTGAACATAAGTCTTCTAAGTTAATACAAATAATATTGTTCAAATTAAAAAAATGAGCTTTTTAATATTGTATTATATTTTCATGCTGTAGTTTCTATATGACATACTATAATTAGTTTTTTGACAGTTACTGCAAAAGCTAGGTAACTTAAAAAGCTTTCAAAATTAAAAATATATATTATCTTAAAAACAAGAGCAGATTAAGAAATTATAAAGACATTTACAGAATTAGCAACATCTAAATACTTAGATACTTCACAACCCTGCAAGTGACAACTTTTTATTTTTAAAGTATAATTAGTCTTAATGGGTTATATATAATTCTATAAAAAGTTAATGCACAAAAAAATTTAGCATAGAAATAATTTAGAATATTATTAGATTCAACTTATATCTAAACCAAAACCATACAATTAAATTTTTTCAAATTGTATTCAAACTGTTTTAACTTTAATATTGCTATTCAAATTATAAAATAAAAGTAACTCCTAAAATTATTTTATGGTTTAAATTTAGAATATATTTTTAAGTACATTGGCTCTTAATTACATGGTAAAATATTCACTATTCAAAGAGCTCATTTGATAAGTATAGTTTTTTTATGTAATATCTTCAAAATAGACCTAATTGAACAAAACTGATCATTTTAGCTTCGATGCGAAGCTGAGAAGGTATTGGTTTTACTAAGATGTGTTTTTTTTTCTCTTTTTCTCAGCTCTCACCAAACCGATTTATTTCAACGATACGTCAAAAGATCACAAATCGTATCTAGTCGAAAACATTACCCTCAAAATTGAAAAAAATTCCCTCATTCCCCGTAAATGGGGAAACCTCCAAAAAAATTACAAATTTAAAAATCGCTAATTTTCGATATTTTTGCTTCGANCCGTAAACGGGGGAAATCCCCCAAAAAATTACAAATTTAAAAATCGCTAATTTTCGATATTTTTTCATTTTTTTTTACTTAAAATTGCCATAACTTTTTTAAAAATGACCGAATCAATATAATTTTTTTTTTTATATAGATACCTTAGATAATTACCTACCATTTTATGTATTTTTATGAACATTTAACTCTTTAACAGCCCACAGGATGGGGTTTCAAAATGGTAACT